TGGGGTCTGCCACGCCTCCTTCTGCCTGTTACATACATTTCAACAAAACCATTATACCCTGATTTCCCATTGAAAATGGGTTCAGGGTATAAAAAACATTTGAATGAATTTTAGAAAAGATAAACATGTTTTATGCCCATATAAGTACTTACCGTTGTGCAATATGCTCTAGGCAGACCAATTTTAAAATGCTCATCAATTCATTTTCAGTAATACCCTTTCGTTTCATATCTTCACGAGTATCTGGATATATGATTTGATCACAAAGGCTGCCAATTGACATATATGGTCTTTGGGGTATATAGAACATGCAGGGCTTATTTTCCACAGGGCGGGGAATGTGCAGCTCGCCGGCATAGATAGGCCACAGACCACTTAATATGCGAAACAAGCTGGACTTGCCGCAGCCATTTGGACCAGTTATCAATAAATGAAAACCCGGTTCAATACAAAGGGTCAAACTGGGAACAACAATATCACAGTTGGGTGTTACGACCGGAACGGCTCGAAGGCTGATGGACATGTTGCTGGGATCATCGATATATATTATACGTCCCTTTGCAATGGGTTTGCCGTTACGGAACTCAATGATGCCATTTATTTCCTCATTCTCAATTACCGAGGCTTTGCTGTAAATGCCTTGAGCGGTCTCTTCGAAAACGTCTAGCATCCCAGCTACTCGACAGGTATAGCCGGCCAATGCTACTATTTCCTTGTAAGAGGACATTAAACGCTCTATAGCATCGGCTGCCGAAATCAGTAGATTTCTGGACGTTGTTAGGTATTGGGTTCGCTCACTAACACTCGACTCAGTTCTTTCGATGGTCTTATTATTGGATGACGATGTCGTTGTGGATACAGCTGCTCCTGTTAATATTGGCAGAGAAACCATCACCATGCCTGTGCCGGACCATACATATTTCATAAAGAATTGCTCTAGCATTATAAACCAAAGTTTTTGACTAAATATATTATTCATTTGATTAACAAGCCGATTATACGCTTGCCTTAATTGCTGTAGCTCCACCTGATTGTTAAATAATAAAAGTATTTATAATAAAAATGTATTCAGTCTATTTGTAAATATAATTACAACATATATATAGTATATTTTCAAGATATTTTTTACTTACTTTATGTCCGCTATAGAATGCGATTTCTTCTGCATTTGTAATTATGCGTGAATGAATATGCCTTAGATAACCATACCGATTTGCTTCCTCTGATACCAGCTGGCCAAACTTAGGGGATACAACACGCAAAATATGAGCGGTAAGTGCAATAACGCTGACTGATAGCGCAGGCCCTTTAAATATGTACATCAATAAACAAAGCTAGTTTGAAACAAATAAGAAGGCTCTAGTCGAGACTGCTAGACTCGGAGATTACAAAATATTCGCATATATATTAAATGTATATACACAGTAAATCTGAATCTCCAGGTCTAATAGTGTTCAAATTATATTGAAAAAAGCAAAATAAATTGATCGATTATCCTCGACAAAACAAAAAATGATAAACTTGTGCTGCGTAAGGTATATACGACTCTACATGCAAAATTCCACCTCTCTAGCTGTTATAACTTTTGAAACTTGGCGTTCATACGGACGGAAGGACGGACGGACAGACGGACAGGGCTATATCGACTCAGCTCGTCGTCCTGATCAAGAATATATATACTTTATGGGGTCTGCGATGATTCCTTCTTCCTGTTACATACTTTTAACTAAACCATTATACTCTGATTTTCAATTTTAAATGAGTCAGGGTATAAGAAAAAGAGCAATGAGATAAACACTTGCCTGATAAGATATTAGCTTTCATCTTTCTGGAGGAGCGCATTAAAGCCAAGCCAATCAACATCAGATCGAAGCAAGGTTTGGTCAAACTGCTATATAAATGTGCTACAGAGCTCGCAAATACTGAAATATCCTCCGTAAGTCTACAAAGATTAAAAAAAAAAAACTATGTACAATATTCATTATACAAATGACATGTATATATATATTACCTGTGATCGGCATTTTCGATGCGTCCGTCTAGATTCGATACTCGATAGTAGTTCTGATTCTTGAAGTACAAACGATATGAATGCCGCACCAATCGAGTTCTGTTCAAAGGTGTATATATCATTTTTTATATACATACCTACATACAGTTGGACAAGAAAGTGTTTCACACAGAGAAAAATTTTTAGTGTTTTGCTTAGAAGCGAAATAAAAACAATAAGAATATGCATATTCAAATTTTTTTAATTTAAATTCAAATTTTTAAAATTTAAATAGGTAAATTAAACTATAAACTATATTAGTAAATAAATAAACAAGTATGAAAGCTCTAGTCGAGACTGCAAGACTACGAGATGCCCTGAACCCTTGGAGTAATAACTATTTCAATAATTTTTCGCGTCTTTCAGCTTACACAAGAAACACACACACACACTCACAAACATACACACACACAAATTGAAATTTTAGCCATACCAAATGGGCATTTTTATTACTTGGGTTCAGGGTAGTATCTAGTCGAGCACTCTCGACTAGAATTTTCTTACTTGTTATTTGTTGGGTTCAGGGTAGTATCTAGTCGAGCACTCTCGACTAGAGTTTTCTTACTTGTTACTTACTAATATAGTTTATAGTTTAATTTACACATTTTCTTATAAAAAAAATTA